TGGTTTTTTTCTTTTTTTTTTTTTTTTTTTTTTTTTTTACTGAGAACAATTGCATGAGATCAAGTATCTCTGTTCCTTAGGAGATCACCTGCTCCTGCTGCTCATTTACCATCTGAAATCATAATCGTCTGTTGGTGACAATCTAGTCATCTTCACAGTAACTAATTGTGATGTCACAAACAAATGATTATGATTTCAGGTGGTGAACAAACAGCAGGAGCAGATGTACTGTGAAGAACAAAGACTGTAAAGTCATGCACAAATCCCTAGTAATAAAATGTTAGGCAAGAAAAACAAAGAGCCTGTCCTTTACAGAGAGGTAGGATTGCTCTGAATGTAATTTTTTTTACTATTAGTTTTTCAATACTTACTTTGTGACTCCCAGAATTGCTGGAAATAAAGAAAGAAAAACTATACTATGGAAAACTGAGGGTGAGAAACATATAAAAACAGTTAGGGTCATTTTTTCCTTGTTAGAATTATAGTATATAAAAACACTGTGGGGTTTTTTTTTTTTAATTTTATTTTTATGTATTTTTGTTCTTCATAGCTCATCTACAGCTTCTCCTAGAACACATATGATACGATGTTTGTGATTACCCCATCCAAAAATATAAAATGAAAATATATTCCCAAGAAAATCTACTTTGCATTAGGATTGTTTATTTGTTTTGTATTTTCTTTTTGTTTATAACTGCTTAAGTCCAATTTATCTCTCTTATTTATCTCTCTTAATTTATCTCTCTTAATTTATCTCTCTTATTTATCTCTCTTAATTTATCTCTCTTAATTTATCTCTCTTAAATCAAATCCAGAGAGATAAATGAGCATTCTGTTGACAGTAAACATCTCCCGTATGGGCTGCAAATGCTTGTGGTCTGCCTACAGTGTCTCAATGTCTTTTCCAGAGCATCAAGGAAAAAACTCACTCAATGTTCTTGTTATTTCACGTGTGAAAAATGTCCAAGATACCTCAAACAAAGAAACAAATAGCTTCTTGTTTCATCTTTAAGACTGTGAAATAAAGAGGAAAGGTAAAGAAGTAAACCTGTGGGAAGAAGCTTTGCCAGCGAGTAGGAGGAACAGAAGTGAAGTTTGCTGCAAGGATAGTTGCAAAAGTAACATGACAGAGAGGAACACGAGAAGTTAATTTTCAAGGGTATTTACTAGGGAATACTAAGAATGTATTGAGCAAGTACGTAGGAGGACACATACTGAAGGGTATTTCCCAGCAAAAGTGAACTACATAATAGTAGTAGGGTACAATGAAATCTCTTCAACTGTACTAAAGTGTATCACTATTCTGATTTTTGGTTTTGTTGTGCTGAAGTACACCACTTTACTATTACAGTTTTATTTCACACTTCTAGGTGTGAAAGGGATCTAGACAGATGAATTACTAGATGATGAAAACTGTGTGATCAGGCTTAGAGGACAGTGGCAGACTTTGAGGGACCTAATAGCAGCCTTCCAACACCTAAGAAGAGGTTGCCAAAAAGATGGAGCCAGGCACGTTACTGAAGCATTCAGCAGAAGAATAGGACATGACAGTTGTAAACAACAACAACAAAAAAAACATCCTGAAGGAACTGGCTGATGTGGTTGCCAAGCCACTCTCCATCATATCTGAAAAGTCACAGCTGTCCAGTGAAGTCCCTGCTGACTGGAAAAAGGGAAACATCACTTCCATTTTCAAGAAAGGGAGAAAGGAAGACCCGGGGAACTACAGGCCAGTGAGTCTCATCTCTGTGTCTGGGAAGATCATGGAGCAGATAATCCTGAAAACTTTGGCAAGGCACATGCAAGACGACCCGTTGGCAACCCTGTCCACAGCAGGGGGGTTGGAACTATATGATCTTTAAGGTCCTTTCCAACCCACACCATTCCAAGATTTCCTTTTATCCCAGACGACTGTGATAAAAGGAAGAAATATCAATGTGAAGATAATTCACCATTGGAACAGTCTGCCCAGAGAAGGTATGGAATCTCCATCCTTGGAGAACTGGAAAAAGATATAAGCAAACTTGTCTGAACTTTGTACCAACCCTGCTTTGAGCAGGCAGTTAGGTTGACCTCCTAATATCCCTTACAATCTGAAGGATTCAATGAGTGAGTAAAAATCTTCTTATTCCTGCAGTCATTCATGTCTATACTTACACAAAGGACACTCAAAAGTTAATTCATCTAATTGCAATAAAAATTCTAAAACATTTACAGAAAACATTTCAATTGTCTTGAATAATCCAAATCCTACAGAGTCAAAGAGAAGTAAAAATAAAACTTTAGAGAGCAATACTTACTGTTACTTGTTGGCTCAGGAAACCCAACATTCTGGCCATTCCAACTCTTGTTTTCTCCAAGCTGAAACAGGTAGAAAAAGACAAATAAGTAAAGAGCAAACCACTCCTTAAACAGAACATTCTTATTTTATAAATTTAGTTGAAAGATTCTAAAATGGGTGACTTGGGAATGTCATATCTCCGTCCAAAACTTTGCTAACACATCTTAGTTTTTGTCTAAAATAGGTTATTTGAGGAATGTACTCTTCATGAATAAACATGAACAGCTATTGCTTAACATTGAAATATAAATGTTTCCCCAAGGATTAGGCTCAACTCAGTATGTTACCAAATCAGACTTAATATCAAATATTTTAAGTGGCTCTCAACTGAAAACATACACAGACAACACAGAAACTACATTTTAAAACAAGATGATTCTAATATCTGCTTATGAAAGAATGCATAAACACTACAAAGTACTTTGGGTGTAATTTTAAAATATTTACTTGCTAGGAATCCATTTAGTTACTGAAGTGGAAGCAAAAAAAGATTGAAATTTTCCATTATTTTAATATATACTTTTTGAGGTAGCTAATTGTCTTCAAATTGATTTTATTATGTTTAACACCAGCTATTACTCTGACACAGAAAAGGGGAGCAATTAACACAGAAGTTCAAAATGAGGCCATTCCTGAAGTCTACACAGTAAATAAGATGGCAGTGTTCTGGATTCACGTGTGGATAAAGAAGTTTGATATTCTTCATGAACTAGGAGCTATTGACAACCAGCTCAATGAATGTGAAACAAATGATTGTTTTCAGATTTCACTGGGATTTTAGAAGCAAACAGAAAACCTCACAGCAATGCAGTCTATATGCCACGACAAAGCTGTAACAATTTGCTCTGGAAGACAAGGTTGACTGGAAAGCAAAAGAGATGTGAAGGAGGATCAGCCATCTGAAACCTGCTTCTGTCTCTCAGAGGTTGCATTAAGGCTGTTTAGATTACCATCATGTTGTAATGCAGACTACTAGATTATACGTTTTCCTTGGGAAAGTGGAAGGAAGAGTACGCTATGCAAAGCAGCTATTCCCATGATTGTTTCCCTGCCTTTCCTCATCATGTACATCCCAATGTGCTCACAGTCTGGGCAACATGCAATAGAAGTGGGAGATATTTAGTGGAATGGGAGGATAGGTATTAGAGCTGGCTCTCAAACTGGTCACCTGCCTCCATGCACTTTAACTTCACATAACTCCTTTTATTCTTATTATGAAGCAGATAATATGTGTATTGGAAAACAAGTAAAACAACAGTTCTTCCAATGAATAAGCAACATGAAATCTATAAGTAGGTTTCTGTTTACTACTGTCTGTTATAACAGCATGGTTTTGTTATGGTTTTGTTACTGTGCATCTGTAACGTGCTCTGAAAATCAGCATAAGCATGGTGTTACAATATGAGAAGAACACCTCCAACTCTCCTCATTCCTCTTTTTACTGCTTATTACCTTGATAATGATGCGGAATTTAACAAGAATTTATCAATCAGTAAGTTATCCCTAGTACTGCTGTCTCACCTGAATGCAAGCTACTCTGGTTTTCTTCTCCCTAAGAGAATAAAAGTGGCAAGAAGAAATGAAAAGATGGAAACATGAAAAAAATGAAGACATTACAACTCTCTATTCTGATCCATAGAGCTAAAACTCTGATAGCTACAAAAAGTCTCCCAGGCACTTTCAAATTGGCCTTCTCAGGGCTCTGCACAATCATTACTGATTTCTTCCAGGAATTGCACTGCCTCAGAAAAGAGCAGTCTGTATTTTTTCACATTACCTCAATTACCTGTTTACCTGTGCTGCCATCAGCAGCATGCATGGCTCTTGTAACACTCTTAGGTCGTCATTAAAACAGTGAATACAGTCACATTTTGTACACTGCGGTTAAGGAAAAACCACTGAATTCAGTTTTGCTTTTTTTTAAGGGAGAAGTATGGGGACGAAAAGACTCAGGGAACTGGGGGGCAGGAGAAAGAGAAGCATCCTTTTTTAAAAGCATCAAAAACAACACAATTAGAAATTGTCCATTTAGATGCCAACCTGACATATCAGCTAATCTACGTTGGGCCCCATTTTGAATGAGAAACAAGTATTTTCTAACGGTACATCTTTACTGTGCAATTTATATGGAAGGAATTTTGCAATGCTCAAGTTGGTAGAGATCTAAATGGTATTTTCCTTCTTCTCCAGCACAGTTTAGTTAGAGCATTAAAATGCTTTCATCTACACAAAATAACTTGTGTATCTGCTTTAAATATGTTCAGTCTGTTACACATAGAAGATAAAGCCAGATGTTCTAGATATTTTATGTCCTTAACCCCAACAAAGCTATAAAAATGTATTCTATGATCTTGAGTACTTCCACTACATAAAATTTGAGTAGTTCACATTTTTTGGATACAGTATCATGTTTGCTCATTGTATTCAGAATAATATTAGGTCATTGTATGCTACTCTATCAATTCTAAGCTATCTACGTCTGCAAGTATGTAATTAAACCATTTCTTAAAAGACAATGTACTTGTAGTAAGCAATAGTTTAATAAATGTAAGGAAACAAAGCATCAGCACCCCTTTTGAGCTACTCAATTTATTTTAAGGATTTCAATGTAACCACAAGTTTCCACTGTGTAGAGCTCTCCAAAGCAACTATGTTGTGGGCTGAATTTTTTCATGCTTTATCTCTGAAATTTACTGAGTAAAAATAGTTCAGACAATTTGAAATCCAAGAATAAGAACCTCAATTTTCCTATTGGAAAACACAGTTGACTTTTCTGTTTTGTTTTGTTTTGTTTTTTTCAAAGAGCCTTTTGGCCAAACTGGCAGTGAAGAAAAAGTTGAAACTGGTAGAAAGTATCTTCTACAGCAGAAAAGCCTCAGCATTCTGGTGCAAATGAATTATTATTCGACTCTGTTGAAAGTCTTTTTTAAAACCCATGACCGCACAGTGTGTTCTCACGAGAAGCACCATCTAGCCTCCAAGTACTCTGTTTAGAGTATCGCACACTTGTATGTGACTAAGATATATTGCAAAGAACGTAGTGAAGGTGGGTGTGAATAACATACACGGAACTACTCCTCCCAAAGGAGAGGGAAACAAGAGGAGGTGGAGCCAAGTAACCAGTACAGCATTTATCTTTTCCTGGGTAGGAGTAGAGAACGCATAGGAACAGAGTATCTTCCTACATACTTACTTTTTTTTTTATTATTTAAAGAAAAAGAAAGGGTGTTTCAGAAGATATATACTATATTCAGATTTACCACACAGTCCCCAGAAAAGCTCAGTAGAACATTTTGTTGACCTGAGCTACCTGTTACAGCCAGCAAACAATTAAGCCATGATTAAAAGATGTACATGCAGCGACTCTGCTGTTCAGAGTCCACAGCTTAGTCAAACACCTTACCAAATATCTTTTCAGGATACAAAAGGCAAAACCTTAACACCCAACCTTGGTTACAAAACCTTCCATCAATAAAGTCAAGACAGGAGATGAGTGCTAAGCTGCACATCACTAACATAGAAAAACATACTTGCAATACATACAAATTTAAAATGTAATTCCTTCTCAAAACAAACAAACAAACAAAAAAACCCCATACGTTTTCTTTCTCAGTCATCAAATCTGAAAAGGCCATTATTTTTCTGGAATGCTTTTAGTGCATATGCAACAGGAAGACAAGCATTGACTACTATGACTACTTCACGTATGAAAATTACTAACATAGTTCCTTTCAGTCGTCTCCCAAAATGGAATAAAAGCAAGAGGCACGTTCATCTCTTCTTAATTACTCTTACAGGAGGAGAGGCTGCACTTACTACTAACTGTAGCTATAGAGCTATAGCTGAACGAAGGCAGATCTCTTGACCAGCAACCTCCTAAAACAGGGTGTGCACATGTTTAAGTTTCTGTTCCTACTAAGTGATTAGCTGGCACCGCTAAGAAATCCAGACAAGCGTAAAATGTGGGCAGCATAACAGCTGGTTCTTACCTTTTCTGGCTGGTCTTGAAGAAGAGTAGAGGCTTTGTAACCCAGCTGTAGCAACATCGCTTCTGCTGCATTTCTTTTAGCTACTTTCTTGTTTGGGCCTGTTCCAGTAGTAATCTCATTGCCTACTTTTACCTTAAAAAGAAAACATTGATCAGAACCATGATGAATGCAAGACTCTTTAATATCACCATGTAATAATCTTGCCAACCTATCAATAACTGTCAGCTCTTTTGATGAAGATGCCATCTTGGAAAAGCAAGAATAGAGCAGAAGGGGACTACAATACCATTTCACGCAAAGGAGCTTGGTTAGATTTTTCAGAAGGTCCTCAAACTGATACCAAAGAGAAACATTTTTCTCTATCCCAATGCACACACAGTTGTCTCTCTCTTCTGCCACCCTCTGTGCCAACCCCAATCTCCCTGCTTTTTCATCTTCCCTACTCTTGCTGGCCCCTCTTTCTTAACGCGGGAAGCGCTGCATGATCTGGGCTTCCTCGTCCTTGTGAGAGCATTGCCAGCAGCAGCTCCCCAGCATCATCAGAACAGTCTCCATAAGAACAGAGACACAAACAGTGACCTGGAGTTTTAAATGAAAGTGGTTTCTAAAGAAAGATGAAAACCATGTTTGCGTTTCTTCTCCTTTGTCTGTAAGCAACCGCAAGCAACACGGGGGGCTGGGGCTGCTTTCTCTTCCACGCTTACACTTGACAAGCTTTTATCAAAATAGTCTTTGGAAAAAAGGCTCCTCATTGGACCTGTGGTCTGTACTGAACAAAGAATTTCTGACAAACAAGATGCCTTTCATAAAACTAGGAGAAATTAAAACCTCAAAACAAAAACAAATTATAGACAACGGATATCCACAAAGAGTGAGGCTCTAACTTATTCCTTGGGTTTGGTACCATTCCTGAACTCCTGAAGCTGTATGTGTCTGGTTTGTGATACCAGCACTGTCATTGCTATTCACATACGCAATAGTCATAGCTTTGATAGCTACGTTTCATTCTCTCCATTAAGCCATTTTATTTGCCAAACTTCCTCTTAAAATAGCATATAGTTTCAAAAGTGTGTTAAAAAAAGGAAACCAAAATAAAATAAAAATCATAAAATAGCCAAGGTGAGCTGAATAAAAGAAACCTTAGATGTCAAAGACCTGAAACAGTCTGTAATGAGCTTTAAAAAAATTGTAAAAACAGGCACACAATTGTTAAACAAATACTAAATGTTATTTTGTAATTTATGTCATTCAGAAATTATTCACTTTCCTCAAATTATTACGTATATATTTTCCTAGAAGTTTTAATTTTTCTTTACTCAAATACCTATTAATTCTACATACAAAGACAAGGTTGTAAATAATTAATAATGATCATTAATATCCCTTCAAAGCACATATATAATTAAACAAAAGATCTGTCTACCTAAGCAGAAATAGTAATAATCTTGAAATAAAAATCTTATGTTCTATGCAGTTCTGCAGTCACAATTAGAAAACAGCCAATCTGCTACAAGTTTACATGCAATAAAATTGAGGGACTTTAATGGGACAAGACAAAATTATAATTTATAACATAGCTCACAATAAATCAATGCGCTGCTATTTCTCAGACCTGTAAAACTGGTTTAGCTATTATTATAACCTCTATCAAGGATTAAAGGTCTGATTTTTTAAAGAGCTTTCTGAAATTAACTTTGGGAACAGAACACCAACTAATGTCATCAGAGGTTTTCTTCTGTTTATCTAGTGGTCAAGACAAGTAATTGGATCCATTTCATCACATCTAAACTTGCTCTTTGTGTGACAGATAAAAATGAACATATTATCTCTGGATATTTTACTTCCACATTCAATTAAATTAAATGAAAACATTGTTTAAGTAGTTTATACAAAGACTTTTTATTCTGATAAGGTTTTTTGCATGTCAATGAATCCACTGAGACTTCCTCTGAAGGTGGGAGAAACAGCAGTATGGTTTTAGTGTGAAAATATCACAAAAGGGTAAAAATGGGGCTACAGGGTTTAAAAGCCTACACAATAAAGCAACTGATCTACGGAATTTCTTTGACTCTTTCTTTCACAAGTCTTCCTAGACAAGGGAATCATCTACATATTCGCTGCTTTTCAGATTCATTCAAACCAAAGATTTTGCCATTATTGAGACTCCTACAATTGAAAACCAATTTCTCAGCCCATCTTTCTCATACTGGACTGCATTACACAGTACTTTTCTGAGGCCTCACACAACCATCTCTAACTGTGGACACTCCCACGGGGGTCTGAGCAAGGGAAAAAGGATGGTCTGTGGCAGGATTACTCTTTTTCAAATACTTTCACGTAGCATAAAAAGATGGAAATCTAAGTTGGATTTCCAAGACGGAAATCAGAATCTGCAACAAAGATATTCTGCAATATCTTCTTTTGCTTCAGAAAGAAAAATAACAAAACACCAAGACCATGGAGGTCCAAGGAAATGAAGATTGCTAGCCTATCCTGATTCACATGAATGAGGGACTTAAAGATTTATGTGAAAACATAACTAATTTTCTGGAGGAGGAAGTGCTGGAACATCATGAATTCTGCTTGTGATCAGAAGCGACATTTTGGTGTGGTTTGTCGACAACAAGTCAAAACATATTCAGGTATGCTGTTCTGAATTGTTCTGGCACAAAAATACCCCTGAGTGAAAATACAAGAGAAAATAATTCTTTCCTGTTCCTGATCTTTTTTAACCTGCTGTTGTGCTAGCTAACAAAATATCATGGTTATATCAAAGCTTTGTGAAGGTTCTTAATTAAAAAATTAAAGAAACATTAATGATCTACTGTTTCTGTATTAGGTACAAAGCCATTAACTAGACAGGCTAAAACACATGATGGAAGGGGTTTTTTTGTGGTATTTCAGAGACAAACAAAACCATAAAGAAACTGAAAAACTGAAAAGATTTACAATGCTACTTTTTTAAATGAAAATGCTTGGTAATATGTAGATATTCATATTTGTATTTCAGAATACTTGTTTGTATTGCAGTTCCCTGATCAACAATAGCAAAAAAAATTGTCAAAAGACAAGTAAAAATAAATCATGAACTATCACAGAAAAAGACAGAAACCATCAGGTGAAATAAAAATAAGTAGTGTATAAAAAGTGCAAAAGTGCTACAAGAAAAGCATCTAGAAGGCACAAAACCTAATTGCCATTTATTTCACCAAGACAAAGAAGAAAGTTCAAACAGGTTTTCTGATACAGTATTTCATAATTTCCTCATACAACTGACCGCAAAGCAAAGAGGTAAACACAGAGAGATCCGCTTCATATTACGCTACCATTTTGCTTAAGTTTGAACATAACATAGCAAGGGTATTATCTCTAATGTGACAGCAGATGATACCTGCATAACAAACTCTCGGCGGCGAGGCATTCCTCTCTCTGAAAGAAGAACATACTCTGGCTCCTTCTCCTTTTTGGCCTGTTGGATCTGAGCCAGACGACTGATGGGATTCATTCCTTGACCATATTCTGGTCCAGTCTAAAACAGGTTTAAAAGAAAGAACCATTATTTCAGCATATACCCATACAACTACTATGCTGCTTCAATAAACCATTTATTAAAGTTACCTCCTCTTTAATATCCCCTTTTAGAGATTAAGAAGTAAATTTCTTCCCATCTTCTGATCATGCCACAGAAGATAAGAATCTTCAAGCTCAAAACTGTATCAAAAAATACGCACCTATTGTTTGCCACTGCTGCAGGTACTGCGCACACCTAGCATCTGTAAGCTACTACTACTTTCATCTATCTATGGAGGACCTATGGGAATGGATAAAAACTAGCACATTCATCAGTCAATTATATCTCATTGTCAAAAAAGATTTGCCATACTGTATCCTTGGCTGCATCAAGAGAAGTGTGGCCAGCAGATCAAGGGAGGTAATTCTGCCCCTCTACTCCACTCTCGTGAGAACCCACCTCGAGTACTGTGTCCAGTACTGGGGCCCTGACACAAGAAGGACATGGACCTACTGGAGCAAGTTCAGAGGAGGGCCATGAGGATGAACCAAGGGCTGGAGCACCTCTCCTATGAGGACAGGCTGAGAGAGTTGGGGTTGTTCAGCCTGGAGAAGGTTCCGGGGAGACCTTACAGCGGTACTGGAGCCTTCCAGTACCTAAAGGGGTCTACAAGAAAACTGGGGAGGGACTTTTTACAAATGCAGGTAGTGACAGAACAAGGGGAAATGGCTTTAAGCTGGAAGAGGGTAGGTTTAGATTAGACATTAGGAAGAAATTCTTTACTGTGAGGGTGGTGAGACACTGGAACAGGTTGTCCAGAGAAGTTGTGGATGCCCCTTCCCTGGAAGGCCAGGTTGGATGAGGCTTTGCGCAACCTGGTCTAGTGGAAGGTGTCCCTGCTCATGGTAGGGGGGTTGGAGCTAGATGATCTTTCAGGTCCCTTCCAACCCAAACTATTCTATGATTCTATATAACAAGGAAGCTGCTTCTCTCAGGCTTCCTGCCTTCCTTCTCAGCACTCCTGCCTTCCATCCTACAATTCAGCTAAAGGTGTAGAAGGTTTACTCTGTTAGCATGTCATAGGAATTCAACCTCAAAATACTTTTATGTAGGGAAGCTAGAGAAAAATATCTCCAGTGGCTAGAAATGTTGCATATGGTGAGCCACCCACAAAGTATTTCAAATGCTTAACAGACAATACTCCTCACAACAACATGTCAAAATGTATGGTTGGAGGGGGAATTGATCTGATGAGGGGGGAAAACAAAAGGACTGAGAGACATGTCTGTCCAAGCTTACACAGCCAGAAGAAAAACTACAGTCCTTCCAAACTACCTAGTTCTGAAGGTAGTCCTTTCATTATGTTATCACTGTCGTGGTGAATGCTCTCTCAAAGCAAATAGCTATGAAAATATTTGTTTGTAGATCTTAAGCAGAGGAAATTAAGACCCCCCCAAAATTTATCTGAAGTCATATTTAACGGATTTATATACCATAACACAAAGAATGAACTTGCAAATCACAGAATCACAGAATGTT